TGTGTTGGTTATACCAGTGAAGAGAGTAGCTTTGGCAAAGTCAGGTAACTTACTGAGTGTAAATGTCCATCTCACAAGTATGCCTTCACAGACAAATATTTCAGTCCTTGTTTCCTAGAGGCCAATGTTGTTTCAAAGAATAATACTGACTACTMAAACATGGATAATTCCAAAACACAWTTCACATAAAAGTATCTATCAAYATGGCATGAAWTTAGATGACTACTWACCAYATTAGGTTAGGTTGTATAKGTTTTCTAAATGTGATTCATGTATATTTTAATCCATGTAAAAACAAAGAATGTTGAATTCTACTAGTCTTTAGAAAAGAGAACAGCGAAAGGTGGTTTTCTCACCAGGTTTAAAGATGTTTGTCATGTTTATTTCCACTTGAATTATTCTAATAAAGTGATAATTCCAATATTTGTCACCAGATGGCACTGCAACGACAYGATCTTGTAACCATTCCTCATACTCCTTTTATGGCGTAATGAGGTCATCCCCAGATAATTACMAAGTATGCATCACTATTTCAGATTGCATTAATCCCCTCTTCCTTCATTCTGTTATGTTTACACCACCAGGCTTGCTGGCATAGCCATGTCAGTTGTTAATATTCTTAGCCAATTGGACTTGGTAAGAAAAKCTCAGTAGTGGAGATCAATACCTACCCTAAAGTTAATTTGTCCAGATACTGTGATGAGCAATACTGAAGGCAAATCCTGTCTTTAATGGCAAGAGATGAAACTCCCACCTGTATCAGGTCATGCACAGAGGCTTGCCTCAGTTCCCTGGCCTTGCAATTCTGAATAGGATCCCAGCCTCAGGCTGTCAACCTATCTGCATTCCCGACTTTTCAGTGCAGAATTTTGTTTTCCCTTGTTTCCCTTCTCTCAAATGGAGCATCCTCTTCCATGACCTAATTTGTCTTTCATTTCTAGTGCCCCCTGATACATTCTCTCATGACCTATCACTGCAGCTTGAACTAAAAGTACCGATCCTAACTGTGACTCATTGCAGACTTTTAGGAAGCAAAAGGGATCAAACCCGGGAGCCCAGAGATGTGTTGAGCACTAAGCTACAGTTTCCTTTTGAGAAGTCAGTTTTAGCACCATCACAGCTGTCATCACTGCAGTGCTGGCATCMGAGCAATCACTTTGAAGTTGTTCAACGGTGACTACAAATAGTTTCAGATTTTTATTTGCAGATCAAGATATGTAGCATTTTCACATTTGCGACATAAAAAAATCTCAGGGCTTCCTTTCAGAGGTCTGATACATTCCTGGTATTCAKCAGGATGCTGGTATTTGGTAGAAAAGGAATGCTATGATATAGAAAATTAAAAGCTAGGATAGTTGCTTCTGGCTGTCTCATATGGCATATGGCTGGATAGTGTGTGTTTTGGAATGACAGCCAAATCTCTTAATAGCACGAACACTTCAGCATACACCAAACATAACCTGTCTCCATAGCAGACAAAGTGAAAAATACTGCTGATTTTCATAATTCTGTTCCCTTTTTTTGCCACTAAATGTTCTCAATAGGGGGATAGTGATTGTACTATAGATACTCATGCATATGCAGAATATTGTATTTATGYTAGTCAATTTAAATACAAAACAACCTATGAGATGATAATTCAAAACCATACACGAGTAAGAAAAGAGAGTCTGGCAGCACATGTAAAGACAGAAATAAAGTACAATTAAAAGACAGGAAAGGAAATAAAATGATGTGAAATGAAATTGCAAACACCAAAAATTCTTAAATGAAGTGACAACAGTTAAATGAAACTGAATGACAGGAAGTGCATCAAAATGAGCCAAAACTCCACAAAATTATTTTCATTGCAATCTCAAGATTTCATTTCCTTTCATGAAATGAAGTCATGACTGTTTTAAGGTCTTTAAATAAATTCCAAGTCAAACTTAACTTTWTTAGTCAAAATCAGGCCTTTTGAATGCCAAGTTGAATAAATCCAGGCTTCCATACAACCCCTCAATAATTACAGAATGACTACAAATTACCATGTGATTATAACTATTTCTCCCCCATTCTTCTGAAATTACTTTCATGTAGTTCAACTGCATTCAAAAATATTAAATGTAACAATGCCAAACTTTTGGAGAGTGGCTGGAACAGCCTAGGCTATCTCTTTTCATTATATGAATTGGATTTTGTAAGCCATTAAGATTTCAGTGGATGTTTATAGTAGAAGGAAAACATTATAACAAGARCTTTAAGGGACCYTTTTTTCTCCTTCCAAAATGTTCATTGGTTAACTACTGTCAATGGCAAGGTTTAGCATTCACCAAGCCATCAATACTGGGCTCTTTGGGAGATAACTGTCTGGGGCTATCCTGATGAATGAGTAAATTGTGATGTATAAATGAAGGTGAGGAAGTGACTGAGCATAGCAGATACCAGGTTCTTTTTGTATGTTACCCTTAAATGTTTGGCTGTAGGGCATGTGCAAATAGCTCTTTCACAAAATTGCTAGAAGAACTGCATGTGGGTGCATTATGATTGTACTGTGAATGTGACTGATTATGTATGAATCCATGAGCACATTAATTATTATATATTTTTTTCCGATATATTTCCTTGTTTCTGGAAGGTGGAATTTGGTTGTTCCATTTCACTGAACTGTCATTTTTTTATTGAGATACTGCCACAGTTAAGGAAAAGTAAGAATAATATGGAGTTTGTAAAACACTCCTTGCTCTTCCTATTGACCTTTTTATAGTGCATGGGAAATTGTAGTCATGTATTTAAATGGTTACTGCTTTTACTACTAACCTGATTTGGAAATCCCTCTTTGAAAACCATGTCAATTTTATTACACTGCATTCGTAAAAAAAAAAAAAAAAATTGACAACCAGACTACTTTGCATCTCCTTTTTCCCATCTACTGATGAGTACACATCTACAATGTATAGTCACATCATTTCTAACAAATATTTCACTCCTTTTTCATGCTTACTCATTTAGAAAGTTATTGGTTTGCTGTAAGTTGATTCCTTTTTTGTCTTAACACTTGTTATTGAATCCTAAATATACTACAAACCATTGTTCTTTGAACAGTCAAGATGATTAATCTTTACAGATCCTATACTGCTACTCTAACGCCTTCATCACGTTCCTACACTGCCTGACTTCCTGCCCTTGCTGAGTAGATATCCTTCCCCTATTGTCTATATTTTCTGAATGTCAAAGGTTAGAATTTGTATTTAACTTGTTGTCCTACACCCACAAGTCTGCTTCAAAAAGAAGTGGACTGATAAAGCTGGGAACTTGTGTTTTCTCAAGGTTCTTGAACAAGCGCAGAGATAGGAAGAAAGGGACTGAGATCTTTGTTGTGCCTCAAGTGGTACAACAAGACAGAACAACTTAAAATATTCTGCAATAGACAAAGCAACCCCCAATCAACACATTCACACCTGCTGTAGAATTAATTTGTTCTTGAATATCATGCTTGATATTGCTTTTTCCAAAGAACAATACATGCCACACACTAGCTGAAGTATTAACCTCTAAGATACTTCAGACCTTTTCAGTGCTAGCGTTGTATTAGTGAAACAAATAATTCTGARAAGCCATGTACTATCTGTACTGCTGGTTGAAGCACAGAAATYAAACCAAGCAGCTGGGCATCTGGTAGGAGAGCAAACCACAGTCTTGTGCTGCAGATGAGTGAGATATGTAGTCTTTACTACAAAAAAGGGTGCCTGAGGAAGGAAACTTTGAATTCACAGCTTTATTTATACATCACAATTTACTCATTCATCAGGATAGCCCCAGACAGTTATCTCCCAAAGAGCCCAGTATTGATGGCTTGGTGAACGCTAAACCTTGCCATTGACAGTAGTTAACCAATGAACATTTTGGAAGGAGAAAAATGGGTCCTTTAAAGTTCTTGTTATAATGTTTTCCTTCTACTATAAACATCCACTGAAATCTCCAGGCCTCTCTTCACTCGGATTTGTCTCCCACATCTGTCATGGTGAATGCCTTTTCTGTCCTGTCTGTCCGCAGGTCCTCCCATGCTGCACCATGGTGCCCGGGCAGTCCTGCCTGGCCTGGATCAGCAATGGTGTGGCCAGCAGGACCAGGGTAGTGACCGTCCACTCAGCACTGGTGAGGCCACACCTCGAGTGTTGTGTTGAGTTCTGGGTCCCTCAATTCAGGAATGACACTGAGATGCTAGAACAAGCCCAGAGAAGGGCAGCRGAGCTGGGAGGGGTCTAGAGCACARTGGTCTGTGAGGAATGGTTGAGGGAACTGGGGGTGTTTAGGCTAAAGAAAGGACTCTCAGGTGAAACCTTGTCACTCTCTACAAYCACCTGAAAAGAGGGTGTAGCCAGGYTGGGGTTGGCCTCTTCTCCCAGGCAACAGGTGAGAGGACAAGAGGACATAGCTTCAAGCTGCATCAGGGTATGTTTAGTTTGAACGTCAGGAGAAATCTCTTCACAGAAAGGGTAATTACACATTTGAACGGGCTGCCCAGAGTGGTGGTGGAGTARCTRTACCTGGAGGTGTTTAAGGAAAGACTGGACATGGCACTCAGAGCCATGCTCTACTTGACATGACGCTGCTCAGCCACAGGCTTGACTCGATCATCTCAAGAGGTGTTTTCCAACCTGACTCATTCTGTGCTTCTGTGAGTCCCTCGGCTGCCCCCACAGCCGCCTCATCCTCTCTGGAGTCACGCCTGCCTCCCTCTCCAGAAAGGGACCAGACACCTCCCCAGGGCACCCCACCTGCCCGCCTTTACCTCCAGAGAGACCCCAGCGAGGGGCTCCTCTGCGTRGGGACGAGGGGAGGAGACCACTGCTCTGACACAACACGGCTGCCCCCTCAGGCAGCGCCGCCGGCGCGCATCTGTCGCTATGGAGGGGAGCACAGATCAGCACGGGCCCCCGCGGCTGAGGGCGAGCGGGGCGGGGCGGGGCGGGGCGGGGCTTCACGCGGGGACGGCGCAACTCGCCTGGGTTGGCGGCGCCATTTTGAATTGGCTGAGGGTCGGAGGCGCCGGGTGCTGAGCAGGGTTCCGCGTCTCCCGAGGGAGAGCCCGCGAGGAAGGAGCGGATATGGCCGCCAATAGGAACTTGAAGCAAGTGCGGATTGAAAACAGCTCCCCAGCTGCGCCGCTGGGCATGGTGGGGGGTGGTGGCGGCGGCAGCAGCAGCAGCAGCAACCTGAAGGGATTGCGCGGCCTAGAAGCGGAGAGTGAGGCGGCGGCGGCCATGGCTTTGGCGCCGAGCAAAGAAGGTGGCGGAGATGAGGAGCAGGAGGTTGGTTTCACCATAGATATCAAGAGCTTTCTCAAACCTGGCGAGAAGAGCTATACGCAGCGCTGTCGTCTCTTCGTGGGGAATCTGCCTACTGATATCACCGAGGAGGATTTCAAGCGCCTTTTCGAGCGCTACGGGGAGCCCAGCGAGGTCTTCATCAATCGGGATCGTGGCTTCGGCTTCATCCGCCTGGTGAGGATCCGGGCGGGCCTTGGGGCTGCCTTCTCACCCTGGGGCTGTCTCTGAAAGCGGGAGGCTTCGGTCCCTTGCCCCCCGCCCCCTTCCCCTCCTTTTCGCCGGGTGTAAAGAAAGGCAGCGTCTGCCTCTCATTCTGTCCTTCCTTGCTGCTAGCGCTGGTCCCTCCGCTTCTTCTTCCTTCTCTCCCCTCTCCTGTTTGCCTCCATGCGTCCAGACCCCTGCGTTCAGAGTAGCCCTCCCAGCCCCTGGAGTTTCGGTCCCCACCTCGCCCTATGGCATTTAGTGCAGTTCATTTTAACGACTGGACAGGATTGTTTCGAAATACCRTTGCTCGCACATCGTGAACGTAGAATATAAAATCACGGAATTGCAAAGATTGCGGACTGCGAGTTGTTTAAATTACTTGTACCCAGATTAAGACTAGACTTTTAGGGGTAATACAGTATTTAATTAAAACATGCTCGAGTTAAGCATGCAAAAATTTGAATCATCCGAAAAGTTTACGATGCTGTATTTAGATGGTACTTAAGTGTGCGGGATTCTTTTTCACGATTGCTCTGTTTGGAATGCACCGATTTATATAATTCTGGGAATAGCTTTAGAGAGCTTTAGGTGTTTAGCATGATTTTTCCGTATTTTTTACTGGTTAGGATTTTTTTTTTTCTTTGTGGTTGTCATCTTAAAATGCTTGTGGCATTCTACCATGCATCTTTTACCCTGAGAATTCTCCAGCCTGAAATAGCAATTTTCTGGAGGAAGTGCGATATATTTATCTCGTTACTCAGTTTTGTGTGTAATAGAGATTAGGTGGAGCTTTATTGTAAACTTCCCTTTTCCTTACACCTAGGACTACATACAGATCTTAACAGCTTCCCTAGCCAGTCGAACTGGGAAGAAAAATAGAAGAATTTCTTTAAATGTAAGGGATTGCGAGTAGCAAAATTGGTGAAGATTTCTGAAGTGAGAAAAAAGGTGGCTGTTGATGTACAGTCTCATGGATGTGGGTGCAAAAAGCCCATAAATGCAAGAACAATGAATACATGAGCTAAGAGCRTAATTTTATCATTTGTTGATGAAATTTGAATTGGACATCCATGGAGAGCAAGTGTGATRCTTTTACTTATTTAAAAGCAAAGCAAAGACCCAACCCAACCTTACCTGTAATGTAATCTTTGAGGAAACTGTTTCCTGCTGCATGGAGCTAGGTATGCAGAATTAGGGTGGGTAAACATTAAAAGCATCAAGTTCTTAAGTCTACTCAAAACGTTTATAGAGAAGCACCATCATGAGAATTTAAGTCCTTTAATGTGCAACAAAAAATATGCGCAAATTGCGCCTAAGTTATCTTTTAGAATAAAACCATAAGGGGTAATGAATGCATTTTTTTTTTCAATGAGAGGACAGAGACATTGTTTGTTGGGTTTTTTGTTGTTGGATTGGTTTGTTTTTTTGATTGGGGGGGAAGTKGAATGATCCTGATGCCAATTGCACAAGTGAAGGAAAACAACTTTGCTACTTTTAAAGGGGGTGGACRCACAAAAGTGATACTTGCTGTCTTTGAAAATTAAAGATATGAAATATTTTATATCTTGATAAAGGAATCTAGGACCCTGGCTGAAATAGCAAAGGCAGAACTTGATGGTACTATTTTGAAGAGCAGACCACTTCGAATTCGATTTGCTACACATGGAGCTGCCTTAACTGTGAAGAATCTGTCGCCTGTGGTTTCCAATGAGCTGCTGGAACAAGCGTTCTCACAATTTGGGCCAGTGGAAAGAGCGGTTGTTGTAGTAGATGATCGTGGCAGAGCTACAGGGAAAGGTTTCGTAGAGTTTGCAGCAAAACCTCCAGCACGGAAAGCTCTAGAAAGATGCAGTGATGGGGCATTCTTGCTAACAACGTAAGTTCACAGGTTTTTGTTTGAATTTGTGAGTATATATTCCTAATGTGAACAAAAAATGCACTCATGGTGTTCCCTAGTTCTTATTTTGTTTTCAAATTSTGGAAGCCATAAGGTTAGAAATTAAGGTGTTTTACGTGAGTACCACAAATACTCGGGTTTTTTTTTGAGAAAGCCATTTTTCTCTGCGTATTGTTTCTAATATTTCATRTTACCCTATGAGAGTCTGAGAGCAAAATATTGAGTTTTTTCTTGTCCATATGCAATATTACTTTTTCTTCTTTATATACTAAGCCATTTTCTGTTGAGACTTTATTTTCATTGATTGCACTCTTCCTGATCCCRGTAACAAAGTGACCAAATAATGTTCCTTTGTTTCTTAACAAAATAGTGCATGACATTGCTGMTATATCTGTAGACTAAAGTGTTTCTATCTCAAAAATTATCTTTGGCTTGTAAGGCCAGGATTTTATTGTTGGTTTAAAATGAAGACTGAGACTGAAGATGTTTATACTAGTGATGTTTGGAAAGCAATCTATTTCAAGGACAAGCAAGCTTGCAAATAGCAGCACTTCTCTTGCATCTCATATTTCTGTACTTGCCAAAGAGAGTTGTTAACTGCTGTACTGTAACACAGTCACAAGTGACGTTTTCAAATGCTTTTTTAAAGGCTACATGAAATGGTAGATATTTATGATTATTTTTTTATTTTTCTGACTCCCATTGGGAAAATAAGGTGGTTTCACAGCATGGAGACTTGCTGCCATTGATTTGGATAACTTGTAGTTCTTTTCCTGCCCTGCCTGTGATATTCTTTTATCTGCCTGAGAACTTTATGATACTTCCATAAGGCACTTGTGCKTGCTAAAACAAAAGAAAAGTAATCATTCGTATGGGCGTCCATTGCAGTCTGTTTAAGCACAGGAAGGTTCTTGTTAATGTCAGGTCCAGCAGAGAGTAAGACAGGAGAAAACGTTGCCAGGAGGAGATGGCAGGTGAGTAAGGGGTCTGGAACTCCAATTTCTTGTGATAATTTCTTAAATCTTATGTGCCACTGAACTGATTTGGTGGTTGCATAATAAATTTTAATACTTACTTGCGGTTATCCGGAGGTGCCAGCAGTTTGTTCTTATTCCCTGGGTTTTCTTGGTGTTAGTTATTGAATGGAAGTGTAGTGAGCCAGACAAGGGAACTAATGTACTGCAGTGTTACATGAGTGCTATTCTTGACATGAGAGATGTGGCAGGAAAAAATGGGATCCCCTAGGATATGAGGGGAAAGGTATTCCTGTTTTACCAGATGGGTGGATCAATTGAATTGATCATCTAACCATGGCCTGATTGAATAAAAAGCACTTGGTGGTCGTTTCCTTGCTTAGATGATGTGTTTCCTATGGCTCAGTTGCAARGATAATTGGCATGAATCTGCTGCCATCTACTTTAATGTTCTGCTTCAGAGTCTAAAATTTTACCTTTTTTAACAGAAAACTCTGCCTTATCAGAACAAAATCTTTCAATTCCTGTATAAATCTATCAAAACTAAACGTTCAAAACATTAGAGTTTTAACATCGTTGATTTAAGTTGTAACTTATTAGCACCACAGTTCAATTGCATTAAATAGCAGAAATGTCAGAATTGCTATGCAGATAGCATCAGAAGAAACAGTTGCTGAGTTGTGCCCTGTGATTCCAGGSTTCATCTTGTTAGTCTAAACTTAACATTGTAAAGAGAGTAATTGTAAAATGTATTGGGGACTCGTTTTTCTGGTTTGGTTTCRGTTGGTTTTTTTGTTTTGGTTTGTTTTGTTTTGTTTTGCAGAGGGGGACTGGGGCAGTAGGGGAAGATCTGCAAGGTGAAATGGAGGCATGGAACACACTAAATGAGTGCTGGTGTTTTGAAAATTGTGTCGCTAGTGCTCCGTGTTCTGTAAGCTCTGCTCCCAAGACTGATGCAGAGCTTTATACACAGTTCAGAGTTCTTACACTGCCCTCTCTGKCAGTACTGGCTCATGCTTTCTTCTGGTTACTACATTTCAAGGAAGCTGTTTTCAGAGATAAATTAGGATTCTGACTTCTGAGTCTRTGGTTGTTCAAATAATGGATTTTAAATAATTTAAACAGAAGCATTTTTCTATTTATCCCTGTAATATTAATACCAAATCATCAAGCTGTTTTCAGTTGTAGAATAACTTGCAAAACTAAGTTGTAAAAGTCAGTAGAAATATGAAGTTGTGTTGTTCTACTTTGTATTTGTTGCTTTCCCAGTACAATCATGGCCTCTGTKGTGCCTCACTCATGAAAACAAGAAGTTAGTTCCTTCTTAAGTATTTTCTAATTGTTGGTAGATGGTTTTGGTATTTTAAAAAACCAAACAGAACTGTGTCAAGTAAGTTGTGATTTCTAGGCAGAATAGCCTGGTTTGGGTATAGAAACAATTATTTTCCAAAGGTAATTCTTAAAATCAGGATTCAGTGGAATTCCGTGATTTAAGACAAGACACAGGAATTACTGTTACCTTTCTGGAGTGTTTCTTCAAAATGCTAAAATAAATTGTAACTGCTTCATTGATGACTGAGTAATTAAATAGAAAATGTTTTCCAGAACACCTCGACCAGTTGTTGTAGAACCAATGGAGCAATTTGATGATGAGGATGGACTCCCAGAGAAGCTAATGCAAAAAACACAACAGTACCACAAGTAAGTTGTGATTAGCCTTATTTTATAAACAATGATTTATGTACTTAGTTACCTTTGTAAATATATACTAGTTTTTACTTTTGAGTTTGTATAGTAGGAAGTAGTGCTTTGTATGTTGTGCTGTTTTGTGTCAAAGGATTAAACAGGGCCTTCCTAATCATARTAAAATTCAGACTTGGCTTGTTGGTTTAACATTCTGTGCATTTATTGTAGTAGAGAGATGGTTGGCCTACACTGCAATCAGTGGGAGCTTGTTGCCAGCAAASTACAGTGTTTGCAGTCTCCATGGAGTGTAAATCTTTGCAGTTTCCACAGTTCGGGTAAAACATGGAACATGACATGAGATAGTGAATCTTGGTCATGAAATAGAAGTCCCATAATCTGAAAAGAATATGTTTTAATTGTAACTTGCCATTCATGTTGCTTGAATCTAAAATCTTTATTCTGTTAAGACTGTAGAGCACCACTTCTTAAAAAATTGTCACTGTTAGGTACAATATTAGTGTTAGAATGGGAAATAAAATGTGGTTACGTCTTCATGTTTACRGATTCTGGCTAATATTCTGAGCTGTGTAGAAAGCTTTGGTATTTATTTAGATAACTGGTTTTATGAATTGACTGCTTGCTTTAGAAGGCTGAAAACAGTCAAATCTAGTGTTGCATAATATTCATTGCTGATATAAATATGGATTTTTATCTTAAAATTAAGTTGAATCTTTGGACAATTTTTGGAAAAATTGTCTTTTTAGTTGTCTTAATGTCTGAATTAAGTGTTGTGTGAATGTAGTCATATGACAGGTAGATAAAAAGTCAGTTCTACACCTAAGTGATTGTTTATACATTCTCTGGCTGTTACAGCTGTTGATCTAAATGTGTCCTTCTGTACATTTTTACTGCGAAATTTTTATTAGGGAAAGAGAACAGCCTCCACGCTTTGCTCAGCCTGGAACGTTTGAGTTTGAGTATGCTTCRCGGTGGAAGGCTCTTGATGAGATGGAAAAGCAACAGCGTGAACAGGTTGACAGGAACATTAGAGAAGCCAAAGAGAAACTAGAGGCAGAAATGGAAGCAGCTAGACATGAGCATCAGCTAATGCTGATGAGGCAAGGTAAAACCAAATAATTTACTAGTATCAAATTTGTTTTGTCACAGGTTTTTCTTTTTCGTGTAGCATATTGAGCTGTACACTTGGACATGTTGCTGGCCACTATTTAATTAAAGGCATTTAACTGAGAAAAAGGAAGTAATACTTCTCTGTGTACATATTCCTTGATGATTTGCAGAATTTAAGAAGCTGATAGAGGTGATTGTTTTCTTCACTTCCGAAATCCGTCTTTAGGAAAAAGTTTACTTAACTTGTTTTTCCTRAATAGGTATATGTGCTTCCATTGTGGAAACATGCTGTTTTTATAAGGTCTTGTACAGAGCATAAAGTATTATGAGGAAAATAATAACATAAAAACATAASTATGTAATAACATGAAAAGCGTAAGATCTTATACAGAGTGTAATAATATAGAAAACTGTTTTGAAATGCCAAAAAGTTMCCTCAGCACCTGAAATGACAACTGTTTCTTAGTTTATTTTCCAAGAAAAAAGCATTAAGTTTGCTTGTAAGCACAGATGTATGTTACAGATGAGGAATGTGCATGTCAATATGATCCAAGAACACTGCCGACAATACACAGTATAGCTCTCCCTTGTAATTAGACACACATTATAATTTTGTATGTATGCAGGAATGAGATTTGTAAAGATGGTTCAGTGCTTAAAATAYAGGTTGGGTAAATCCACTGTTGATTTATCCAATTGTTAATATTTAACAGTTTTAATGATCCAGTCCTAAAATTGATGTGCTTTAATTTCCTTTGAATTTATTCACCTGTTGCCTGTACTTGAGGGCAAGATTAGAGATTACTTTTTCTTAAATTCATGTCTTAATTACCTTTTAAAYAGACAAGATGACAGTGGTCTCTTTATTAAGATAGAAAAGCTCTTGATGGTAAAACTTCTTAGGTATGTTTTTGTATAGTAGGGTTTCTTTTAACCATAATGAGGGAAAAGATATTCTGCTTTTTGAATATCTGTTAAGTGCCAGTTCTGTAGAGAAGAAGAGAGAATTATTCCTTCCATTAAAGAGCCACTAAAACATGAATGCATTTCATGCTACTATTCCAGTGAGGAAATGTGAGGTTTTTTTTTTAGTTTAGGAGGAGTTTGGTTTGGTTAATACCTCTTTGGTACTAGATAACTTAGAATAATCAGATTTCTTTTTAGTCACCTGCTGGCATTTAATTTTCCAAGATCTAGGGATTAGTAAGTATTCCTTCTGTTTTAATCTTCTCAATTCTTCRGCTTCAGTATGTATGAAAATAACGTGTTTTTTTCCACTCATATTTATTTTCAAAGATTAGCTGCCTCTTGTTGCTCTGAACAGTGTGGGTCTAAGCTCATGCCATGCCAAGCATATTAATTATATTAATGAGATTGCATCATAGGATTCTGTAGAAAGATGTAGTGAGATTTCTAAGGCATCAGAACCTGGAATTAATATTTTTGTATCCCTGGTCCACAGAGTCAAATTTAAAGATGTATTGAARCAGTAACTGTGAAATATGAAATAAAATAGGAAATACCATGTCATCTTCTATAAAGAAGGCAGGAAGGATGAGCTTACTGGTCCACATRCTCTTGTAGGTGAAGGTTGTGTTGAAACTGCTTTATGAGAGCTAATAGTACTTGAMCTTTAGAACATGTTGTAGTTTAAGTACTCATGTTTTTATGGTGTGGTGTTAATACTGAAGGTAGACTTAATTCTTTTGATATGTGTAAGTTTTCACTTTTCAGTGTTATATTTGGACAGACTGAATCCGAAGTAATTTGTAAAGCASAATATGTGTTTCCATGTATAAGTAAATTGCGTGGTATTTCTGATCTATGTACTGGTGGTATGCATCAAACATTTGTAAATATTCTCTCATAATGATGGTTAAATAGATTATGAAAATACTGGAAAATGTGACTGAATTTGTCCAGAAGCTTAATTTTTTTRTCAATTATATGGAAGCTTCGCATTTATTTTCCAGCTTGTAGGATTAACTTCTTCGGTGAGAGAACACTTTCACCTCCTAATCTCTGCTATGTAGAAGGTTGAAGACAAAATGAAGACCTTGCCCTTTATAAGAACAAGAAAGTGCAGAGGCTAATAATGATGCTCTGTTTGTTTTCTTTTTTTTCCCACAGCTGCTTTAGTGCAGACTTTTTCTGTCCAGAGAAAGGGCCTGTCAGTCAAGCATTAAAATCGTTGCAGGTCTTTTAATATGAATAGCTCTTGTGCAGAGTTTGAACCTTCCATATCTGTATTTTCATCTGGCCTAGTAAGACTTTCTTCCAGAATTTGGCGGTTGTCAAATGATACTGAATCATAATTTGCTATGTTGAACTTTTAAAATACTACCAGTTTCAAGAAAGGCAATAATCACAACTATGCTATGGAGAAAAATTAAGAGAACATTGAGAAAAGTTGAGTACTACACCTTAAGAACAAAGGATGGTAAATGATAAATTTGTAGCAATTAGAGGTAGAGAGAAAGTAGGAAATCCTGTGCCGGAGTGCACAAGAAACAGGGAATTATGCATGAATTTGAAAGAGCAAAGAACTGAAAAGGAAACATTTTCCATTTCCCTTGGACAGTGTTGCGTACAGAATGGGTTAGTTTTTGATCTCAGTAATACCCTGAAGCAGCCTAAAGGATCATTTTAAAAGAAAAGCTCACTTGAACTCTGAAATAACCTAAAGGTTATTTAAAAGTTAAAAAAAAGTGTGCTTGTGACACTCCCCAGCTATCAGGATACCAGTGGCCAGGCCTTCTGTGGCAAGCACARTTAGAAAGAAGCAGCCCTCAGACTTAGTGATCTGAATGAATTTTCAATGTATTCAGATCCCGTTGAAATGTGAAATGTATTCGTTTTGCAGAAGAGAATGGGAAACYAATCCTGCAAAATGGGGTTGAGAATGGACTTCTAATGTCAACAGAGATCTTGTGAGAGTAAAAATCTGATAATCTGCTTTGTTCAAAAAGAAAACAAATGCGTGCTATTTTGGCACAATGTACTGACTATTGTAGTTTTTGGATATTAAAGTAAAATTTAAAGTTGTAATACTTTATACTGATGCAAGTTTGAGGAAAGTGATTTGCATAACTAAAAAGATATTTTAATTAGTATAGTGAAGAAACACATAGAGAAAATGTGGAGACAAGTTGAACTAAAGCATAAAAGAGAGGTAATAAGAGTGGTATGGGAAAATGTTACTTGTGGTTTCTGTAAATAATATGTGGCTGATATCTTATGAAGTTAAAAAATACAGAACTGCTTTCTAACAAATTGGTAGCATTAATATTAATTGAAGAAAGCATAAATTTCCAGGCAGAAATCAATAATGTGACTGGTCAGCAAAAGTAATTGCTAGGAGTTATACCCTGCTTTTTAAGAGCATTTTAAGTGCTTCTTAAGAGGTTATGGCTGTTCCTTTTTTGTGGGGTTCAAAGATTCATRTAAGTTGCAGTAACCAGAGTCATAATAGATCTCCGTGGAGGTTCAGACTTCATGCATCTGAAGTTCATATCACTTTTCTTTTTCTGATGTGTGCCACRCAGTGATCTGCAGTAGATAGTGGAGAATATAAAAGTCCATAAATATGGAAATACTATAAGCAGTGGTTTTCTTGGTAGTGTGACTTTAACAGTGCACAACATTGTGAGAAAATTGATGCCCTGTCCTTCATGTAACATCAGGATGGATTTAAGGGTTTGGGAGGTTTTTTTTCCTTTTCTTTGAGAAYTTAAGATTTCTTTTTACATAACCTGCTTTGGAGGCTTTGTCCATTTTGTACCTTTCTTTGTTTGTGAGCCATGTATCCAGTGTTTTTTCAAGTACTAGACTTAGCTCTGTGGTAAGAGATGAGTTAAATGCATTGAAAAAWTTGTGTAAAAAATGGAATGTTTCTGTAATCTGACAGTATTAACAATTTTTGTGTTGCTACATTATTGACTGACAGCTTTTATATTTAAATACAATTTTAATCCTGTTAGATCTCATGCGTCGTCAAGAGGAATTGAGGCGTTTGGAAGAACTTCGAAACCAAGAACTTCAAAAACGCAAACAGATACAATTGAGGTATTTTGTCTTGTACTGTGCAAAGGTGTCATGCAGCTACTGTAGGCCTGCATGAATTTAGATATGTTTGCTATATTTGCTTTTCAAAAGCATAATGTGTGATGTTTCTGATWATGTTAATATAATGCTAATATAAAAGAGTGGTTTCAAGTGTTTCTTGATTTTTTTTTCACTTATTTCAGCTCTGTTGGTTTTGCTGTACATTTGTGAGATTTCTAAATAGTGTCAAAATGTCTTAGCCTATGTTTCATTTTTATTTTAACGTTGTGACCGAAGCATAGTGTGTTAGATAGGAGCATGCTTCTTCTAAGTTTTATGGGCAGGTGATCTGCATATGGATTTATAGCATTGCAGTCTTAGAGTCTGACATGGGATTTTGGAAGATATTTTCACTTGACATTCTAGTATGTCACAAACAATTTTTGTTTTAAGATCCAGTTCATGCAAATAATTGTTTTAGTGCCTCTTCTAAAGTTTAAGTAAACAGACATAGTACGATCATATTGATTTATACTTTTTGTGTTAAATACCACAGTAAATGTTGATAAGAAGGAAASAACAACATAAACATCTCAGAATTAAAAATGTGGTTTTTGGTGGTGTTGAAATGTTTTAATCCATAGTGGCTTCTTAAAAACTGGAATATTTTAACCAGTTTACCAATATATAGCTGGAAGAGTAGGTGTAGAATGTATTGGTATTGAAATTACTTGTATTCCAGTTTAAAAAAAACGAAAACCAAACAAAACTTAAAAAGTACTCAAACGCATGAAGTTGAGTAGATTAGTGCCTTACAATATGTAAAAAATAATTAATGACCAATTTTGTTTATATGCTTGATCATAGTCTTGAGACTGAGTGCAAGTCTGAACAGTCAAGAGACTAAGATGACATAATTTTTAAAAATATCCTAGACATGAAGAAGAACATAGACGTCGTGAAGAAGAGATGCTACGCCAGAGGGAACAGGAAGAATTACGACGACAGCAAGAGGGAGGATTTAAGCCCAATTTCATGGACAATGTAAGTTCAATTCTGTGGGGAAAGTCCAAATTRGAAAAGATTTTTTTTTATTGTATTATTTTTATTCTAGTTGTTGAACTGCCTTCTTGTTGGCTGTTGTTTCTTCAGTATTTCATCATTSTCCTCAGTGAATTGCTACATATTCAGTAGTGTAGTTATTCTCTTGTGTGCTGACATCACAGTTATTTTTCGTACAAGCTGGTGATGTAACACTTCCATTAAGTGAAGGTGTTCAGATAGGAATATTTTACTTGGAAATTGCAATGTTTCAGTGAAGTAATTCTTAAGTGGGAGGTGATGGGAGAACACCCATCCTGATGTTTCTGTCAGGAAGTGCCCTAGTCTACCTGAGGGTTTAAATTTTAAACCAGTTCATGCTGTTAAGGTGGTTTGAATTACTGGTTTTGGCTTATGCTTAAATTAGTAAGAATAATATGCTTCAGAAACAAAAAGAGCAATGTTAATTTCATATGGAACCTGAAATCACTCTTCCTTTTGACCGTGTGTAAAACTGGATGAGGAAAACATCCAAATCATTACTAAAGGATTCTGAAAAGATGACAACGGTGGGGGAAAATTTGTCCTCTGATATAATCTGTACATCATTTAAATTAGAAATTTAGGTATACTCTGCCTCTGAAGAGTCATCCTTCAGTACTAACAAAACGGTGCTATCAGAGGAGTCAGCTTTAAATTTTTTTGGTCAAAGGAAAAGTTTTTTTTTCTACTGACTAGATCAGTTACATGAATGCAAACGATTGCWAATGCTTTAGTTTCTTATGAATAGGATGCTCTTTACTGTTACATCTATTCCTAGTGATAAAACAATGAATATGAAAGTCACACAATGCTCTTTTACATTATTGAAACAATTGTAGTCTGCAGGAGGGGATTTTGCCCCCCTTCCCAGGTGTAGCTTCCTACATCAATTGAAAATGAACGGCTGGTTTCTTAGCTACTTCCTGTGAAAGAAAAACTTGTTTTACATTCTATACTGTATAATTTTATGTAGGGTTGTGAAGAAATTATTATGCACGTTCTGAGACATTCTAGGAGATGTTAAAAAATAAATTATTTCCTGTTCTCAGCAAGACATTTTTCCCCCTCTTCTGCCCCTTAGTGTTTTAGTAGAGGTGGGGAGGAAGTAAAATAGTTCTTTGATTTTACTAACAGGTGTCAGTTGATTTTGCTGACTGTGTTTTGAAGGACTCGCATCCAAAAGTGGATGGTAATTTATTTCCATGTATGCTCTCACTTGAAAAGAAAACTGCTTTCAGCATGTCTTTTCTTCAGGATGATGAAGACCAAGAATCCAGAATGCATACTGTCCTTTGGTGTGCTCCAAATATTATTAAACATCCTTGGGTAAACAGCATGTAACAGTTGTCTTGATATAATTTAGAAATAGTACTTACTGATTGTGACTTSTGTAGTGCCAAATGTGAAATTTTATTTCACTGTAATATCTTGAAGTAGCATCTTTTGGGGTTGCCTGACTTTCAGGGTTGCCTGACCCTTTAAGCTACCTGTCAAAACCTCCTGGCTCACTTGTGAGACCCATGCTTCTTGCTGCAGAGAGCTGYAGTAATAGGAAGCTGGGGAGCCAACCCACAGCCCTGGGATGGCAGTAGCTTGCTCAGATTCCACTGCTGTTAGGAGGTTGCAGCCTATATTCTGCAGCTTGGAGTGCTGGGGAAAACTCGATAATGTTGACCACCACAGCCTTTACTGTTTTTTTCTTGTATCTGCCTTGAGATAATATTATTATTAGTGTCTGTGCTTAAATTGCTTACCATAGTTTGTCCATCCTTGTTGCTTATCTACATTTTTAAACTCCAAACCCTATATGAATAGAAACTACTAAAGTTGGTGTGCTGGACTTGGCAAAAATATAGGATAAGAAGGGAAGAGGAGTGGTTCAAGTGGTAAGCGCGTTAATCACTGTGYGTAATTTTTATGACTTTAATACATCGAATTTTTTGGAGACGAAAAGTAAAAGGTGGAAGACTACTTTGGAAGAGTGTAGCTCTGCCACTCCTGTTAYTAAAATTGTGTGTTCATCTGGAACTACTTAATACACTGCAGGAATATATACAGTTTTGCAGTAACAGCACTACCAAAGTGTTTTAAGTTATATAAAAAGGAATATAGAGTACATGTGCTGTTTTTTAAACATCATATGAAATTGAAGTGTCACATACAATARTACATGAAAAAATGTATTCTCTAGACTAGTCTTTAGTCTTCTGGTCATGGCTTGACTTAGGTTTTACTTCTAATGCTCTTTAAAAGAGGAAAAATTGAAACAAAATGGCATGTCATGTGTTTACTTTCTTTAGCAACAATTTCTAATCAGGGCAACTGTGTGACTAAGCATGCCTATAATATTTTAGATGTTTGTTATAACATGTTTTTAGATAACTGTAGGTATGTGGTGTGAATGGGAATTGGAAAAGCCTTTGCATTTTGCAGCAGAGAACTGTAAACCTTTTGTGGAGGTTGCAAAAAGATATATCAATTTTGATTTCAACTTAGACTTTCTTATACAACTAATTTGGTTTTATTTGTTCTTACTAATGCTTGTTTACTGTGAATAGATTCCATCTTATACTTACTTCTACCCTCAGATTACTACTGTACATGTGCTCAGAAAGTTATTCTCTATTTTCAGAGGCTAAAAGTTGACTCTTGATAAGAATTTCATTTTTTGATGCTTTTGGATAGTTTTTTACTATAGCAAGTCTTGATAAACTCTGTTGGCATAATTCTTACAACACAGTAAAGTCTTCTGCCAACCATGTATTTACTAGGACAATAATAATTGTTTCTAATCCTTGTTTTTGTTTCTTAAAAGCTTTGAAAAATAGGCTTTTATCACTTATATCCTATCACTTTTACTGGTCAGGCTAAAACAGGAAGATAAATGGTAAGTGCAGTGGCAACCAGAATTGACCCCTCTCATACAWGGCTGCAGTATTAGGCTTTCCTGTTGAAAGTTTCTATCTGTCTTTTCCCTAACTCATTAAACTTGGATTTTTAAAAAATATAACTACTTTTGAAAAAAATCTTGTAATCAAGCTTAACGCAGCTGCCAGTTACTTGGTTTTGTTACAGATGTTAAAAATACTTTGTGAGAAGATTTCTCTTTCTGAAGCATTCTTGTTGCTAGTGATGTTGTACATTGGAAATTTGATTACATTGATTGTTTATCTAATGGGCAGCCTGGTGATTCTTAAACGATTTATTAATCTAGTTGTGTGATCTCTACTAGATAGATTAATAAACACTTCCATTTTGGGTTTTTCCCTTCCTTTCTAAAAGTCAGTTAGTTGAAATATGCTGTTATAGCTCAATAATTTGTATGCATTCTGAGTTCACARTAGCTTAATTGGGAAACTTGTTTCCCAGTGGTATTTTGCTGATTTTTATTTTGCATACATTCTTTTGGCTGAAAGAAGAACTTGCTGGTGGTGAATTATTTTTCAACAGCACAAATATTTTTTAAAAGGAAGTACTTCTGAGTGCCAATAATACATTAATTATTCAAACATGCAATGGTTATTATCCAGTTATGAGTGGCTTGCTTAGATTTACATTGTTGAATCACTTATCAGAGCCATCATACAAAATAATTCCACTTCCAAGACCTGCTTTTATCCATGTCACCAGCTTAGTCATTTGGATTTAGTGTGTTGAAATAGTTTCCATGTGTCTAAAACAGAGATCAAAATATGTAGGAGTTGTAGACMTTAGTTTTGTGGTGCAGTGATTTACTTCTGTAATAACAATGTGAAATGATGTTGGGTGGGTATTGTACTTAATGAAACAATAGCTGCAATACCAGCCTACAACTTACAGCTCTTCCTCTTGATGGTTTAAAGAGGGAATTGGGAATTTTTATGTCCTTGCCCACTTCCCTCCAAGGAAACCGCCTTTTTGAAGTGTAACTTGCATGTTTCTTGAGAAATCATCAGTTTCAACTTCCAAATGCTTGCTATTCTTTCATGTAAGACTTTGTATATGAAATACTTTTTCTTTTTAATATCATAGTCTTTTCAGGAATTATTTTAAGATGTTGTTTTGCTTTCCTTTAGTTTTTCTTGCAGAAGCAGTGCTCTCAAGTATGTTGAGTAATTRTCAGCATAAAGTGGCAGCCTCTCAAGCAGAGGAGATGCTTCAGCAGCAGGGATTSTAGTGGACTTGGATCAAATGCTATAAGATAGATAAGAACAAGAAAGTAAAAAAGCACATTGCAAAACAGCAATGAAGTTTACAGCTTCTGGAATGCCATCCCACCATAGTTTTTGTTCTTAAGAGTTTTGTCCTTTGGAGCAGTTTATAAATCTAGATTTCCATTTCTTGCTGTTTTGAGCCCTATTTGGACATCCCTCACTTCTACRTTAATTTGCAAGGAGACATGTTTGAAAGAAAGCCATCAGTTACATTTCCTTGAACTTCAGTAATTCAGGAGAGATTTTTGAACTTCTTGCCTCTTAAAGTGAATAGAACTGTATTTTCATTCCATGTTCTCATAGCATTGTGCTCAAAAGTTCCAGTAAACAGTTGGAATTTTTTAATGAATGGTGAATTGTTTCCTACCTTACTCTAAACTAAGGCAGATGCCCAATAATAAATTAATAAAWCGTTTCTAAGAATCTTTTCAAATTTGATGCATTTTCTGACAATAAATGTTAGTTATTTAATCCTGAGAGCCTCATACTTAATGAAGCTGATGGTGGTGAAGTTTTGTGAGTTTGTATGAATAAAATCTCAGTTTCTTACYGCTTTGTAAAAGCTCATTTGTAGAGTGTGATTGGGCGAGATGAATCCTAGCTGCAGTCCAGCATACATAGTTCATGTGTGACACCTTAAAGGCTTTTTAAGGTAAAACTAGCTTGGAAAAAGACAAGTCATTACATGTAGAACTAARAACCAGCAACCTGACAAAATATTCCTGCTTTTCTTGGCAGTGGTTTTACTTCAATGATCAAGTTTCTTCC